AGACCTACATAATTTCGCTCTGATATTGTAAATAAATAATTACTGCACTCTCTAAGATAAATATCCACAGCCACTACTTTGAAAGCTTGTTTAATTTTTTACTTGCGTGAATATTTAAATTAAAAATTATGCTATATCATCGAGAATCAAAACTCGAACATCGACGTATTCATTTTGCGTTTAAACAGAAACAAGTGATGAAATTCGCATATCGCTCGTTTGGAGTGAAATGTTGTTAAGTCCATTTCTTTTTTTAATTTTGCTTATAACCATTTTCTTAAAATATTTCACAAAACTATGACTACAAAATTCTGCATGTTTAAAGCAAATCAAATCTCCATACGAATCGAAAGCATTCGATGTTCATTAAAGAAGTTCGTTTTATTTTCGCTTGTAGGATTTCCTCAATTTTTACAAAAAGTGGACTTAGCAACTTTTCACTCTAAGCGATATGAATTGAATTATAGACTTTTTTCAATTATCGATAAGAACAGAGGCAGAAGGTTGTTAATGAATTCATTTAAATGTATTTTAACAAACTGTGTGTTTATGGAGATTTGTTTGCAATCCCGACATATGTACATACATATGTGCATGCGCACAGATCCACATGCATTTAAGTGGGTACCAAAAATATAGGCTTTATCTGAGTTGAAATTCTCCGATTCATTGTTTAATATTTTCTTACGCACACATTTATTTTATAAAAATACGATTGTAAATTTCTGCTACGTTTTTAATAAAATCTGTCATTGCTTTGTTCTTGCGGGCATAGTTAGCAGTCATCGGTAAAAATGTATACCTACTACTACTAAGTTTGAATAGATGGGTATTTAATATGTACATTTCAATTATTTACATTTGTGTACACAAATACTTATGTTATTCATTTATGCAAGCGACATCCGGACAAATTTCGTCTTATCTGCCTTTATCGATATGCTACACTGTACAATGAAATGGAATAAATCATTTATATGTATGTTTACGTATTGTACATTTACATGTTTACGTATTATAATTTCTACATTCAAGTCAAACTGTCCAAATTTTATGTCCATACGTATTTTTCATATTTCGATCAACTGTTACGCGCTACGGGCATCATTAATTGTTGCTGGTACTTTAACAACCAGTCCATTCATGTCCTTTGTTAGTGTTATTTGGCAGCCTAGACGTGAAGTATCGGTGAGGTCGTATGCCAAGTCCAACATATCCAATTCTTCATCGCTGGCTTTATCTGGTAGTTTTTCGAAATCCTCTGATGTAAAAATTAAATGGCAAGTGGAGCATGTCAAAGTACCCTCGCATGCACCAAAACCATCCAAATCGATATGATTATTTACCACCACATCCAGTAATGTGTCGCCCACCTTGCCCTTTGTCTCTATCTTCTGGCCGTTGGCGCGCAAAAACGTAATGTTCACACTTGGTAATAATTAATAAAATAGAATGAGTGTTACATATACATACAGCAAAAATCAATTAATTGTAACTTACTCTTGCTGCAGCTGTGTCCCAATGGAAAATGTGCGTAGGAACTGTTGATTCATTATCACTGTCGTGTTGTTACTGGTTACACGCTGGCAGTAATCGAATTTGCTAAGGTTTTTCACTAGCCCTATTGATGTGTTGCGGTTAATTACTTTTAAGGAGCACCTGACTAAATTTAGGACAAAAGCCATACTGTCGCGTCGTTAACGTTTGGAAGACTCACACGTATAACTGGTTCAATATCACAATGAAGATACTTCTGTGCACTCTTGTGGCTATTTTAATCAATGTCGCACCTACACTGCTTTTTAATAAACGAAACACAACATCGGTAAAGGGAGTGCAATCACCT